CAGTTTATGGATTCTAAGTCCACCCCCTCTCGCGGTTTATGCACTCTGGTCCCCAAGATTAATTCATTTTTGGGCCTCGCTTATTAGGCACTCTGAACCTTCTGTACTCTGGACCTCTACGAAGTGTTATGCACCTGGCACCTTTACTCTGGTTCAACACAGTTCCCTGCACTCTCGCTTCACTCTTCCTGCACTCTGGATTATAGCTGTCCTTGCACTCTAACCCACACCAACTTTGTGAGCCCCCGTGGCTGACTCTCACACACCTACATGTTGAGTCTCGAGTTTCCTGTGGTCATGGCCAGAGCCTCACACCCCACGCACTCTGCAACTTTACTGTTAGTCTATTCGTGGGCCAGTAACGCTCCCAGCCTGCCACACTCCCACATACCCTGGCTCCCACATTCCCTCGCCCCCACATTCCCTCGCCCCCACATTCCCTCGCTCCCACATTCCCTCGCCCCCAGACTTCAACGGCTCCACGCTTCCCAAACTACCAAGCTCTCACACTCCCACAAACGCACACTCCCACACTTCCACACCCCTACACACCTACTTTCCCTCTCCCACAAGTCCTGAAAACCTCTAAACTAACACCAACTTCACCACATTGTTAGTACAATGCCACCGCCTCGTAGACTGACACACCCACAAGGTACAGTATACTCTTAACACATACCAGTGCCATCTAACCCAACCTAACCCAACCCAACCTAACCCATATCGTACTTAGTAATTGACAAAAGAAGTACAGCATCAGTGTATTAAACTATCGTCTTCTACACTACAAAGAATTTGCTCTATAACATCTTGTATGGTTTTCAGTAATTGGTGGTTAAGAGGAAAACTCAGACTTGTGAACCTGTATGATAATTTATAGACCTTAGGAGTTGATAGACTTGAATAGATTATGATAGAGGTGTATATTAATAATTATATATACCCCTGTCCTTACCGTATCTCAGGTCCATCACGCTGACATACTGTACAGTAGGTAAAACGAAACTATCCCTGCTCTGCCACTTCATTCTGCATCCACACACTCACACGCACGCACACATACACATATATCCATATTCTCTATCACCCATAAATCAACGCTTTATATAAGTCAAAACTCCACTTTATTTGATTTATTCTTTTCTTAAGCACTTCCCGATCTCCTTAGATATGTAAACTTTTTCCGTGTGAAACGTCATTTGTCTGGTCCAGTTTTGGCGTTCGTGTGTGTCGTTCGAAGCAATTTCGGGCTTTTCCTTTGTCTCTCCAAAAAAAATGTACAGTATATTTATAAACTCTTCAACCAGGATACGAGAGCACGTGGCTGATATTTTCAGTGGAGAGCGAGGACGCGTCTGCTGCTGCAGTCAGTTATATACGAGTACAGTATATATATATATATATATATATATATATATATATATATATATATATATATATATATATATATATATATATATATATATATATATATATATATATATATATATACAGTATATACAGAGAGTAGGTTCTGAGGCGTGTAACGACTGTGTTCACGAGAGCATTGTGTAATGAACGTATTCATGTTTAGATGAAACTTTGATAATCGTATTATTAATATTGTGTGTGCATGTGTTTATATGTGTGGAAATTGCCTGTGCGTGTCTGTAGAAAAAGAGAGAAAGAGTGTGTGTGTGTGTGTCTATGTGTGTGTGTGTGTCTATGTGTGTGTGTGTGTCTATGTGCGTGTGTGTGTGTGTGTCTGTGTGTGTGTGTGTGTGTGTGTGTGTGTGTGTGTGTGTGTGTCTGTGTGTGTGTGTGTGTGTGTGTGTGTGTGGTAATAGTTATAGTGTAAGTTGAAGCCTAATCCACTCTAGCATCATCCTCCACTTCATGACTGATCGTCTACGAGCTTCTCTCACCCGCCTCATCCACTCCCTTGTTCTCTCACTATTTTTGTGGTGTGTCCTCACTATTGGGGCCCCCAGGTGTTGCTCCCGGCCGTGTTCCCAACAGTTTCCCCTGGTGCGCCCTAACAATAGTCGCTTTTGTTTTACCTGCAACACATCCCTCCCATCGACAACGGCCCTCAACTCTCCCCCTCATAACGATCTGTCTCTGTTTCTCACTGTGTGTGTCTCTCACTTGTCTCTCCATCACCGACAGGCACAGGCTTCAAGATCGCCCCTACAATAGGTGAGAACCTGTGTCGCCTGGTCCTTGGACACCCGACCCTCCACGACCTCTCAGCCTTCTCCGCTTCCAGATTCTCCCCGAGGAGTAAGATGTAGAGGCTCGGTGAGGAGGGGGTCCATTACATCTGCTCCTGATACTCACCTCATTACATCACCTCTCAGTTGTCTCCCTAAGAGTAAGATGAACCACAAAGGATACGAGAAGTAGTAGGTACAGTATTATGTCTTCGTTACCTCTATGTTCCTTAACCTCAGGACTTGAGAGAATTCCAAACAAGACTTCCAGTAGTTTATCTTGTGAAGAAATATATAAGTGATTCTAACATCATTTTATTTTCCCTATTTTTCTCTTTTAGCGTTAATATGTTATTGGTGCTAAGGCAATAGCCACATACATAGCAACTGCCGCCCCCCCCCCTTCTCCAACACAGCAACTGCCACCCCACCCCAACAACACAGCAACTGCCACCCCACCCCATCCCACCCCACCAACACAGCAACTGCCTCCCCACCCCACCAACACAGCAACTGCCATCCCATCCCACCCCACCAACACAGCAACTGCCACCCCACCCCATCCCACCCCACCAACACAGCAACTGCCTCCCTACCCCACCAACACAGCAACTGCCACCCCACCCCATCCCACCCCACCAACACAGCAACTGCCTCCCCACCCCACCAACACAGCAACTGCCACTCAGGGAAATCGATGCCAGACTCTCCTGACAGGTTACCACCATCCACATCGTCTCGTCCTTCACCACAGCCACCCATCGTATAAACTCAAACACTTCCAGTCCTACTTCAGCTAAGCTAACTCCACACACACACACACACACACACACACACACACACACACACACACACTCTCTCTTCAAGTCCTCCCAACCCCACGACAATACACCTGAAACCTTCCTAACTCCCTTTAGCCTTACACGTTACACCCAGACCTTACCATCCTCCCTCAGTATACCTAGACCTTACCATCCTCCCTCAGTATACCTCGACCTTACCATCCTCCCACACCTCAACCATCCAGCTTCACCCCAGTTACTCCCACCTACTCGCCTCTCCACACTGCATTCCTCGCCAGTACAGTAGTCAGGTTGGCCCATGACTCCGGGATGACGTTTCTCCTCATGACTACAAATTTCTAAAATCTTCTGTTGTGAACCGTCGTGTCTTGGCTACTCTCCTGGACGATGTTTTGTCTCTGATCATCATCTTGTGAGTCTCAGTCCATCATACTGTGAGTCTCAGTCCATCATACTGTGAGTCTCAGTCCAGCATACTGTGAGTCTCAGTCCATCATACTGTGAGTCTCAGTCCATCATACTGTGAGTCTCAGAACATCATACTGAGAGTCTCAGTCCAGTAAAAATATAAAATAATCCAGCTTTAATGATGAGATTTTTCAGTAAAATAAACATTCTTTCTAATAAGTTCATAATAAAAATACACCTTTCTTATGTACCTTTGGTGATACAGTATTAATGTTTATATAATATGTCTTCACTTCTTTATTACGATGGTGTAATACGAGCAATCCTCCCCCTCTCCCCTCCCCTCCCAAACCCTCCCCCCACCCCTCCCCTCCCTTCCCCCCACCCCTGCTTGTTGCATATACAAGATTCCTGAACTTACTAGATAATGAAGAGCGTCCTCCATTAAAGCCAAGTTACTGGTAGCTCCCACAGCCAACTTTAGGACCTTATTCCACCCCGCCTTCAGGGCCGAATTTGAGGGAATATATTAGCCGAGTTGCAATCATGGCCGGATCTCAACCAGGAAATGTATTCACCACTTGAGGGAAGATAATACTACACCGACCAAGGTGCTGATGTCTCATAGGGTTGTAGACTGTATAGGTATGTTGCTTCAAACTTAACTCTTTGTGGATGACGACAACGGCCAACATTCTCAAAGATTCTTACGATATTTTTCTTCCTGGTTGGAGGAGAGAGAATACGATCGTCTGGTTTATTTTTTTACAGTAGGATGATGTTAGCTAAAATGGTTTCGTTATTGTTCCAAGACTTTACCTTGAACATAATGTATTATCTTATCTTCAGTTTAAGGACAAAATTATTCTGACTGTACTTTATATTGTTTACTTAATATCTTAGGAGTTATATTGTAGGATAATTATTTCTACTTAGGGTAATTATTCATGACTCTCTCTCTCTCTCTCTCTCTCTCTCTCTCTCTCTCTCTCTCTCTCTCTCTCTCGCCTGCACCCTATATTCCTTACCCTCTCCCACTGTAGTGTTCAAGGCCAGCCAACCCAGCGTGCAGGTGTTGACAGCCACCACCACCAGCATACATTAACACCTGTGGCTGGGGGTGACACTCGGAGCCACCCAATAACAGCACCACCACACAACAGCAATACACAGCACCACCGCTGCCACACAGCCACCAACACACACATCACCACACAGTACCCACCACTGCACTCCATCACCATACACCAACCACCAGACAAACACCAACACCACCACCACACGCCACCACCAAACACTACTACACAGTCCCAACCACCACACACCACCACCACACAAACACCACATACCATCACTGTCAGGGAAAAGCTAGACTAGAAGATGTGTCACACCTGACTTTTACACACACCCTGCGTTAATTACTACACCGTGCTCAGTTTCCTTCCTTCAGAAAATGGCCTGAGAGCAATTCAGGGGGAGGTTGTGTTCGCCTTCAACAAATTTTAACCATTTCACTTGGTCGTCGTGCCTACTGAGCTCATTGTTTTATGTATAGAGACACCAGGTAATTGATTAACGCGCCAGGTAAGTGATTAACACGCCAGGTAAGTGATTAAGACGCCAGGTAACTGATTAATATTATCAAAGAAGAAGAAAATGTTATATAAATGTGTTGAAAAAAAAAGTCTCCGTGATACAAATACAATTCTCTAGTTTCCTAACAAAACATCAATAAATTTAACTAAATCCAAGTAAAATAAAACATCTTATTTCCTCACTAAATATTATAATCTAACGAAATATTTAATCTAATCTAACCTTAATATACACCTGAATTAATTAGTGATGTTTTAATGTATCTTATTTATATAGCTTTCATTTCTGTATATATATTGTTGAGCTTCTTATCATACTTAATACTGTACTTGCAAGAGAATGGTAAGTGGGAGGACGTTTTACTGAAGGTGACAACACGGTGACATCTGGACCCCACACACACACACACACACTTTGCTCCCCCCTCTCTTCCTCTCCCTCTGTGGTTCGTCCCTCTCTCTCCCTCTCTGTGATGTCTCCCTCTCTCCCTCCCTCCCTGTGGTGCCTTCCTCTCTCCTTCTCTGTGGTGTCGCCCTCCCTCCCCCTTCCTCCCTCTCTGTAGTTCTTCCCCTTCCCTCCCTCTCTGTAGTTCTTCCCCTTTCTCCCTCTGTAGTCTCTTCCCTTCCTCCCTCTCTGTAGTTCTTCCCTTCCTCCCTCTCTGTAGTTCCTTCCCCTTTCCCTCCCTCTCTCTGTAGTTCTTCCCCTTTCCCTCCTCTCTGTAGTTCTTCCCTTTCCCCCTCTCTCTGGAGTTCTTCCCCTTTCCTCCCTCTCTGTAGTTCTTCCCCTTTCCCTCCCTCTCTGTAGTTCTTCCCTTTCCCTCCCTCCTCTCTGTAGTTCTTCCCCTTTCCCTCCCTCTCTGTAGTTCTTCCCTCTCTCCCTCCCTCTCTGTACTTCCCTCTCTCCCTTCCTCTTTGTGATGTCTCCCTCTTCCCCTCCCTCTCTCCTTCCCTCTTTGCAGTGCCTCTCTCCCTCCCTCCCTCCCTCCCTCACTCTCTCTTGTTCCTTCCATCCTGTGGTTCGATTTCTCTTCCATCTTTCTCACGTTAACTTTTTTCCTTTCCTCTGATATTATGTTCCCAGGATGTGCCTGGTCGCTTATCCTATATTGTTATGTCCCTTTTATCTCTTCCTTCTCCTCTTCCTCCGTTCCCCCCCATTCTCCTCTTCCTTCCATATTCTCGACTGTTCGTTTGTTTCTCCAATTTCTTCTTACATCCTCCGTCTCACTTCTCCTTTCATTCCACGTCTTCCTGCGTTTATTGAGTGTAGTATTTTTATTTTTGGTTCCTGGGCCGTGTGCTGTTCTTTCCCTGTCGCTCGTCCTCACGCTCGGCAGTAACAAACAGCATTTACTAGTCCTCCTCCCCCTGCTCCTCACCCTGCCTCTCCTCCCCGCCTCTCCCTCTCCCCATCCGTCTCCTCCCCCTCACCGTCTCCTCCCCCACTCGTCTCCTCCTCCTCCCACACATATCTGCTCGTGACAGCTTTACCCATGCCTACATTGACCTTGGCTTTACCTAAAATCAACTTTTACTCGTGCAAATAAACGCTCAGGTATTTGTTTTCCTCATCCCGTTGCCTTAAAACACACAATATTCGACCGTCGATTTTCTCGTTCTCTCGCCTGGGAAAGTTATCTAAACGTCAGCTAAAACTTTATGAGCGGCAGGAAAAAAAAAGATGGGACCGCTGACTCCTTGACTGTAATAGCGTCATGAGAGTCACTCCTGAGGACCCGAAGACCCACAAAAACTGACCACTTCAGAAACCGACACCTATTTGGTCTCTGGTGGGAGTCATGTTTCACCTACTAGTAAGTTGACTTCACTGGTTGATTTCGAGTCCTGACGAGAGAAAAAGATAATGTTGACGTGTGTTGTTAACGTGTTCCTTTTCCTATTGAGGTTTAATTCCCTTATAGTTTTTTCTTATTGGTTCTGATGCTCACTTATTTTTCCTTGGTTGGTGTTTATAGTATTATTATTTGTTTAAGTCTTACACTAATACGTCATCATTATCTCTATCTTTATTTACCTCTCTCTCTCTCTCTCTCTCTCCCCATATTCCTCCTGACTCACTAATCCTCTTTCATTTAATTATCAAAATATCATCATCCCTCCCCTCCTCCTTCCTTCTCCCTCTCCTCCTTCTCTCTCACCACGTCTCTCCATCACCATTTTTCTTCTCTACCTCCTCCTCCTCCTCTTCTCCTCGCGTACAAAATAAGTTATCACAGGTAACCCCCAAAGTCAATTTCTTTCCCCCCATAAAATAAGTCTACTTACCTGAGCCGATCGATTGGCAGGTAAGTGACGGTAAGTAGGAAAGTGACGGTAAATAGGAAAGTGAGAGTAAGTGGTAAGTGACGGTAAGTGGCGGTAAGTGTTAAGGATAGTAAGTTTTAAGTGGCAGTAAGTCGTAAAGTGATTGTAAGTAGTAAGTGGTGGTAAGTGACAGCAAGTAGAAAGTGGCAGTAAGTGGTAAGTGGCAGTAAGTGGTAA